CACACACACACACACATACACACACACACACACACACACATAATCACTGCCCACCGCAGCAATCTTTGCAGACTGAGCCATGGAGCAGCCTGTCCAGTAATGGGCTGAGAGCAGCATTTGTTAGCTCACTTCCTGCCCTTCACCCTCACCCCACTTCATCCTGGAGCCGCTAAGGACAACAGCTCTCCTCTCCCGAGTCAATGTGCGATGACTCGTGGTCCCTGCTCCCCGCTCCATGCTGCTGGCTCTGGCAAGTTGCTGGCCAGCAGAGCCCAGGGCTGGGGAAAGAGCGTGATGAAGGGGCGATGGAGGTCTGGCGTCGGGGAAGCAGGGAGCCACAGGGAGACACTTGCTTTGTCCAGAAGGGTAAAGAGGACTAGGGCCAGCCTCCTGGACTGCATGCTCTTTCAACCACTCCTGCTATACCTTGCGAATGCTCACTCCCAGGTCTTCAGTGCCAATTTTTCTTATATTGAGATTTGTGGAAACAGGCCTTTTGCAGCAGGCTGGTGTCCCCGTGTGTCCCTCTGATGCCTTCGAATTATATCTGGTCCTGTAGTAATCTTGGTAATTCCAGGACACCAACAGACTCGAGCTTCTCAGCAGTCCTGGGAGGAAGGCAGGCTGAATGGAAGGAAGGCTAAATGTCCCCATTTTACAGATGAAGACCCCGAGAGGGAAGCAATTTGTCCGAAGCCAGCAGTGAATCTGAGACGGTATCATTGGGTGCCTTCACACATCATATCTCGATCTTCTTAAGAGCCTGAGGCTCAGAGAGGGGGAGCGACACTGATGAGTGGCACATTCGGGGTCGGCACGCAGGTCCAGCTCTGGCTCACCAGGTTGCTGTCCTTGCAGCTGGTCAAGACCGCCGAGCTGGACCCCTCCCGGAACTACCTTGCCGGCTTCCACCCCCACGGGGTCCTGGCCGCTGGAGCCTTTGTCAACCTGTGCACCGAGAGCACAGGCTTCCCTTCGCTCTTCCCTGGCATCCGCCCCCATCTGATGATGCTGACCCTGTGGTTCCGGGTCCCCTTCTTCAGGGATTACATCATGTCGGGGGGTGAGTTTTTACACCCTGGGGTAGACCAAGAGGATGAGGCTGGAGGCATGGGAAGAGGCATTGTGGCAAGGGTGCCAACCGTTCTGTACTTTTTTTTTTTGTAATGTTTATTTATTTTTGAGAGAGAGAGAGAGAGAAACAGGGACAGAGACAGAGCACGAGCAAGGACGGGCAGAGAGAGAGGGAGACACAGAGTCTGAAGCAGGCTCCAGGCTCCGAGCTGTCAGCACAGAGTCTGACGCAGGGCTCAAACTCCCTAACGGTGAGATCATGACCTGAGCCGAAGTCCGATGCTAAACCGACTGAGGCGCCCAGGCGCCCCAATGGTTCTGTACTTCTTACAAGAACATGTGCAATAGGAGAAGGTGGCTAGACCCAAGGAAGTACTTCCCACAGCACCATGTGGGGCCGTGAGCTTGGCGAGGGTGTCAGGAAAAGGGAGAGAACTCAGTTCCAGTCCTCAGGGAACTCCAAGCTGGAGTGGGTGGGGTGGGGACCCAGGCCTCTGTGGCCACTTTTGGTGATTGCTTTCTTGGCTCACATCCACTTGACAATCCCTGCCCCCTTGCCCTGTACCTGACCACCTTCTTCTCTTCCCAGGGCTGGTCACATCAGACAAGGAGAGCGCTGCTCACATTCTCAACAGGAAAGAAGGTGGCAATCTGCTGGCCATCATCATAGGGGGTGCCCAGGAGGCACTGAATGCCAGGCCCGGGGCCTACACGCTGTTGTTGCGGAACCGCAAGGGCTTCGTCAGACTCGCCCTGATGCACGGGTATCTGGGAAGAGGGCTCTCTGTTCAGCTGGAGATGGGCAAGGATTAGATTTGGGCGGGAAGACAGCAGAGACTAATGCAGATTGTATTGGGACAGGGAGAGTCTTAGTCCCTTTGCAATGAAGATTCTATCTTGGGGAGATCCGTACTATGTCGTGCCCAAATACCCAGAAAAGATTTCAGAAGACAAGTGTGGTGATCAAAGGGACTAGGTGGGAAGGGATATATTTGCCCGAAGCTGGCCCAAGATCTGATATCTATGGGCTCTGGGAAAATGGAGTTTGGGGCATATCACAGAGCTCTTCTACTTCGAAGCGTCTTTGAAGAATACAAGTTAGCTGGAGCCGGAGAGAGGTTTTCTACAAAGTCCACAGATGTTTTATATCTGGGAGGACTCTCTGAAGCATTCCGGTCTATCTGTCCTGTTACAACTGGGAGATTGTGGCCCTGAGAGGGCCCAGGACCTGCCCGAGTTCAGAAAGCAAAGCTACGGCAGGTCTGGTAGGCAACTCAGTCTTCCCACTCCTGGCCCAGGGCTCTGTCCTCTGCTCCAATTCCTGGTCACCGGGTCCAGGCAGGAAGCTAGCTGGGGTCTTCTTTAGGGCCTTCCACACGTAGTCTCTCCTGTCTCCCTCCAGGGCTGCTCTCGTGCCGATCTTCTCCTTTGGGGAGAATGAACTATTTGACCAGGTCGAGAATTCTCCCGGCTCCTGGTTGCGCCGCATCCAGGACCGGCTGCAGAAGATCATGGGTATCTCCCTCCCGCTCTTCCATGGCCGTGGCGTCTTCCAGTACAGCTTTGGTCTTATACCCTACCGCCAGCCCATCACCACCGTGGGTGAGCTGAGAGCCAGGCTGGTGGGGTGGGAGGGGACAGGGGTCGGCTCCAGGGAAAGGGACCTGGACTATGTGCTGCAAGGGGGACATGGAGACGGGTCAGACACATCGTCGCCCTCATGGAGCTCACACTCTAGACTGGGAAACCTACACGCAAGCAGATAACCCTAATACAGGGCACTTTGGGATGGGAACCGTAACAGAGGCACGAAGAACAGCAGTCACTACTGATTACAGGGTACCTGCTGCGTGCCAGGCACTGCACTGGCTTCCTTACCTGCAGCAGCTCAATTTAGCCTAAGAGCCTTCCAGGTAGGGACTATTATCCCTATTTCACTCGTGGCAAACTGAGGCTCAGAGAGGTTAAGTAACTTCCAAAAGATCACACTGCCTTTGAGTAACAAAATTGAGGACTGAATGGGGACCTATTTGACTCTTTATTACGCTAGAGAAGAAGAGTTTAATTCTGACCTAGAGGATCTAATAGGGCTCATTGGAGAAGGTGAATACTAGGAACGAGCATCCCAGGTCTGTTAGAATTGTGTAGAGTAGCAATCAATAGGCTTGGGTTAGAGCCTGAGGGATTTTCCCGTAAATAATGGGCATGAGTCTTAATGCATGGACTCAGCCCTACTTTTTCAGCAATTTGGACTCCTTATTTGCTTTCTTCTTGGATCCCAACCAGATCCCTCTGAGAAAGCCTATCGAGAGAGGTCCATTCCTCTTTATCCATCCATTTATTTGTTAGTTGAGCACAGACTTGGTGACTCCCCTCCGCCATGACTTTTCCTGTTTTATTGTGGCAATATTTTCATGCATGTTAATACCGCTGCTGCCTCTGGGGCACCTGAGTGCCTCAGTCAGTGAAGCGTCTGACTTCCGCTCAGGTAACGTTATCTTTTGTAGTTGGTAAGTTCGAGCCCAGCATCGGGCTCCGTGCTGACTTCTTCAGGCTCTGGAGCCTTCTTCAGATTCTGTGCCTCCCTGTCTCTCTGCCCCTCCCTTGTTCATACTCTCTCCCTCAAAAATAAATAAATATTAAAGACAAATTTTTTAAAGGTTAAAAAAAAATCCTGCTGCTGCCTCCAGAACTATTCCCAAAAGGAAAAGTCAAGGGAGCTACCTTCCCAGCCAGGAAGAACCAGAGGAAGAGGTTAGTTAGGGCTTCTTGATTTCTCCCTAGAACAAAGGGGGCATTACAGGCCGGGGGGTGGGGGGGGCGGGGGCGGTAAGAATTGCTGTCTGGGCAGTTGGCCCACCTCACCCGAGAGCTACAGGCACCTCTTTTTCTCTTTTTAATGTTTATTTATATTTGAGAGAGAGAGAGCGAGCAGGGGAGGGACAGAGAGGTGGAGACAGAATCCAAGCAGGCTTTAGGCTCTGAGCTGTCAGCACTGAGCCCGATAAGGGGCTCGAACCCACAAGCCAGAAGATCATGATCTGAACTGAAGTTGGACGCCGAACTGACTGAGCCATCCAGGCGCCCCGAACTACAGGCGCTTCTAATCATGACATCTTGGGCTCCCCAAACAGTATAGCCTGAAAATTAAGAGCATATCCCTGGGATTTAAAAACTAGAACTGTTTCTTCCTGGCTGTGTGGCCTTGAACAAGTTACTTAACCTCTCTGAGCCTCGTTGCCTCCCCTGTCAACCGGGAATAGTAAGAGTTTCTATCCCCAGAGGGTTGTTATGAGGATTAGAGCTAATGCACGGAAAGTGCCTGGCACATTGCAGAGCGCATTGCAATGCCAGTTGGTATGGTTACTGAGTCAGAATCTTGGAGTTGCTATAACATCTTAGAATCCATCACCCAAAACAGGGCTGAAAGGGATGGCAGTAAGAGCAGTTTCCTGCAGAGATGACCATGGGGGTGGGCACCTGCCCCAAGGTCCCCTGCAACCCCGTGGCTCCTGCTCTGGGCCAGCACCCACATTTGTGTCTTGCAGTGGGAAAGCCCATTGAGGTGCAGAAGACGCTGCATCCCTCGCAGGAGGAGGTGGACAAGCTTCACCGGCGCTACATCAAGGAGCTGTGTGACCTCTTCGAAGCCCACAAGCTCAAGTACAACGTCCCCGTGGACCAGCACTTGGAGTTCTGCTGAGGGCCTCCCCAGAGGCCAGGGCTGGCGTTAGGGAGCCCAGCTGGAGGTGCTGCGATCTGAGAAGGCTTCCTGGAGGTGTCTGTTGAGCACACGGTCACAGCCTTCCCAAACTTCTGCAAATCCAACCATGCCAGGCCCCAAGTCTCAGCTGCCAGTTTGGGCGTCGCTGGTTTGCACTCCCGCTGCGAAGCCGCTGCGAGCCTCCCTCTCCTTGGCCTCCTCCTCTGTGAATGGGAGAGGGGGCTGGAAGAGAGTGATTTCTGAGGTCTCTATCCCCGGTTATAATGTCACTCAATAGGCAGAGAAAGAGAACGGCAACCAGGTCTTCCTTCCTCTACCTTGAGTAACAGCACAAAAGAAGCCCCAGGCTCCAGCCCCATCTCCTACAGGGTCCCTCATCCTGCACCCTACATGTTCTGTCTCCTCCCTCCCTGAGCCAGAGAGGAGGAGGTGGCCTTGAGGCCTCCGCACTCATGCCAGGCCCCTGTGAGCTTCTGGGTCCTCTGTACTGTAGACTGGCAGCCACAGGGGCCCGAAAGGTGGATGAGGAGAACCGTGCTCTGTCACTGGCTATATGACAGTGGGCAGACCTCTTCACCCTCCCTCTGAGCCTCAGTTTCCCTGACTGACTGAGATGAACCCTGAGTCTAAGCTCTGACATTGCAAAGGCAGAGAGCTCCATGAGGCACCTCTTACTCATTCACGGTCATTTCAGCCCCTGACCTTGACACAGAAAGGTGGGAGGTCTCCATAAATGTCAGTTCAACAAATCCTGTTGCAGCCTTCTTCTGTTCCTCCCCATCCCCCAACAAAGAGGGCTGGTCAAAGCCTCTCTTCCCTGCCTGGCCCTGTGGCCCTATCTCATCTTCCCAGAAGGCGGATCAGATTGAGCCAGATAATGCCATGTTGACTCTTCCTTCCTGATCCGATGGCCCCAAGCTTACCACCCCTGGGCCTGTTCTGTTGGGCAAGAAGGTGAGAGGCTAGGTTAAGACACAGGGCAGACCAACATGGAGAATAAAGACCAGACGCAAGGGGTGCTTGTCTGTGTGTGTCGGCCCAGTGGGTGACATGGGGACAGATGCGCTGATGGGAAGAATTCTGGATTCCTGGGTTTGGGACATACGTCAGTAGTGAAGAACAGGATGCCCAGGGTGGGGACCCTACTTGTGACTCACCCCTCCCCCTCCAGCAGGGAAGCAGGATCCTTTCCCTCCTAGAGCAACGCATTCCAGTAACTACAACATGGGTGACATCTGAGAGGTATAAATTTGGGTTTAAATCCTGGCCCATCCCTTCTTAGTGACCCTGGGCAAGTCATGTCATTTCCAAACCTCAATTGTGCCATCTGAGAAATGAAGCTATAAGCATAGTAAGATCATATTTCGAGTCACATAAGCCACTCCACATCATGTCTGGAATGATGTAAGTTAGGACCCAGGTGATCAACATACCCAGTGTCCCAGGAAGGTGTCTGTTATCCCATGAGGCAGTATGCTAGAAGGGTCACAAGGGAGGTGGGAACAAAGAGCAGTGGAGTTCGGAGGAGGGAGTGATGGTTTTCAGCCAGAAAGAGGTAGTGACAGGTGGGCAGGGCCACGACGGAAGGGCAAGGTTTTGCAAAGGAGAGAAGTACTCACCCATTGTAGGTTCTCTATTGCTGTATGGTGGGCTATGCCCAAACTGAATGGCTGAAGAAGCGAGGAGTTATTATTTTCCACAATCCTGTGGGTTGGCCAGGCTCCATGCAGCTGCGTTCCGCGGGGGGCTGGCTGAGGTGGGCACGGGGCCCCTCCCCATACTGATGGGTCTTCAGCATTCAGTCGTGCCTGGATTTTGGAAGAATGAGAGCAAGGCTGCAAGATCTCTTAAGTGCTGGGCTGAGCAACGTGCACAGTCACTTCATCGTATTCTGTTGATCAAAGCAATTCATGAGGCGCCCCCCCCCCCCCACTAGTTTCAGGGGTGAGGAATAGACTCCACCTCCGCCTGGTAGGAACATCAATGTCACAATACAAAAGGCTGGAGTTTGGAGAAGGGATTCTGTGGCCATCTTTGCAAACAATCTACCAAACAGTTGTAAATGAAAGCCTGCAGCAGAATTTCTGCCTTCCCCCACAAGTCTGAAGTTGGCTGTGTGCGGGTGACAAGAGCTGTAGTTCGTCCCCAGGGCCCCAGCTCAGCCTCTGCCTCTTGCCCCAATCTATCCTCAGTGACTAGCCATGGAGAGCTGTCTAAAACACAGATCTGGCTGTGTCAACCCCTACTCAATTCCCTTCTGTGGCTCTCCATTGTTCGTAGAGTTTGTATCAGCCTGGATCCCAACAGGGACCAGATGGCATGTTGAAGGCAGGATAATTTAAGGAGGGTTTGATGAGGGAACAATCTTCTGAGATGCATGGGAAACCACACAGGAGGGGCAGTTACACGAACTGGTAGAGTGCAGTGTGTCACATACAGGGGCCATCTTTGGCCAGGGATCACGAGCCTGGCAGGTGACCCTGCAGAGCAGGAGCCAGGAGTGGGCATTCCCACCTTCCTCTCTCCCTCCCTCTTCTGCCAAGGTTCCCTATTGCCCAAACCCAACTGCAAGCTGGAGGGCACAATGGCCTGTGGTTATAGTCCACACCGGTAGGTCTCCGGGAAAAAGCCAGATGGAGACAGGTGGCAAGTGGATCTGGAGGGGTTGATGGAAGACAGATGTCCACCTTAAGGCTCAAGCTTCTTAGCCTGCCATTCGCCACTCTTCCACCATCTGGCCCAGTTTTCTCCATCCTCACGTCCCCTCCTCCCTTAGCCTTGGGCTCCCATCACACGGAACCATTTGCAGTTACTTGTACCAGATGTGATCTCTTTCCTACAGGCTCCGCCCATGCTGTTCCCTCTGCCTGGAATGCCATCTCCCTCACCCCTCCTCCCTCTTTTTCTGGGAAATTCCCAGTCCTCTTTCAATACTGGTTTCCTCTGTTCGAGGAAGTCTTCCCTAATGCCCCCGGTCGAGGTAGGGTTCCACCGGGGGCCCCAGACTTCCCCCTTCCTCTGCCGCAGCACTCAGCACCCGGGTGGCTGCTGGGTGGTCACAGCCCTGTGCATGATACTCCTGCCTTCAGCGATCCCCCTCCAGTCTACCCACATATAGCACCTACCTCTGCTCTCTGAACAAAAACCCAGCTCCCTGAAAGGGTCTCCAATGTCTCAGGCTAATGACTATACTCTTCCTCGGCCTCTGAGGGCTACACCACGCTGTGTGCTGTTACACAAGGTAGGGCTGCCTGCCTGGTCCCAGAGAGGGTCCCCCAGATGCGTGGGGCACAGTTTGAGCATAGATCAGAGGACAGAATGCTATCCATGACCTCCTGGCCTGGCCGGGATGGGGGAAGAGGTGACCAGGAGATTTGAGAAAGGGAGTGGTGAGAGACTTGGGGGGGGGGCAGAGGGCAGAGAATTCTCCCCTTTTCACAATGACCTTGGGTGCCACATGTGGACGACGATAGCAGGACAAGAAAGAATAGAGCCTGATCTCGAGGGAAGGCTGCCCCAGACATCTGCCCAGACTTTGAGTAAAACATGGTCTTTTCCCATGTTCATTATAGTGGTTGGCCTCCCCAGCTAATAACCACGTGTCAAAGCTGCACCTATCAACGTACCTCCTAACTGACATCTCCTCGGGGCCTCTCAGAGCCTGCCTGAGGGGCCTCCACATCATGTGGGAAGACAGTGGCCCGACCCCAGCCCACACACAGATAGATTCAGACAGTCAGAGGATGACAGGATTTGGCAGGTATAGTAGACAGGGTCAGAGGCCCTCAGGTGTGGGGTGAGCTGGAGTCTCTTCTAGAAACCAGGCTGCCCTTTGGCCTGGGAAAAAGTTCTCAGATGCCATTACCCACAGGGAACAAAGGGCCCACTGGGCCCAGCCTGTCTGACACTGCTTTATGGTGACGGGTAGGACAGGGGTCAGCCAGCACAGCACTGCCAGCAGCCACGTGGCATGGGCCAAGTGCTGGCCTCACAAGGGGCCTCACTGGGCTTTGCCAGGGTTCAGGAGGAGGCTGAGGCATGAAGGATGGAAGCTGCTGAGTGAGCAGAGGCAGGGAGGATGGGCGGTGCAGGGCACACGTGGGTGATGGTCACTGTTGTGGATCAGGGGGCAAGAGTGAGGCTTCCGGGACGGGAGACTGGGGCTTTAGGCTTTTGTTCGGCAAACTTTGATTGAGGGAGTGGTGAACAAGGCGGCCAGGTCCCTTGACTTTGCCTTGCCTCCTCTGTGGGGGGACTCAAATGTCCAGTCAAGGAGTCAGGAATTTATCCTCGAGGTAGGGAGGAGACCTGGAAGGTCCTGGAGCTGGAGTGGGTCATGGGCAGGACCAGATGTCTTGGGCTGAACTGGGCATCTGTCTTAATGACCTCACCGAAGGGCAGTCAGCACGCTGAGCCACTTACTGAGAACCTAGTACATGCTGGGCTCCGGGGGGATGCCTTACATGCATTATCTCAACGATATTGACAGTGACGCCCACTCTTATAATAAATGAGGATCGTGTGTCAGGGAGGTTAAAGGACTTTCTGGAATCCTGGCCTCAGTATGAAGGCTGTCTGCCCAGACAGCTATTTCGTGCTGCTCCCACTCTGCCTAGTTCTTCTCAAACTGGGCAGGATGGCACAATGGAGGTGGCCAGGCAGAGAAGAAGCAAGGCTTGCAGCACCCCTCCCGCCGGCTTGGCTGCGCCCCACCCCTCCCTGAGGCGTGGTTTCATCAGCTGTAAACGCTTCACCATAAATGAGGATTCAATAAATGCTGGTTCTTCCTCACCCCTCCCCTTTGGAAATGCCAGGAAGTGGATTTCGAAAGACCCGGTAGAGCGTGTGGATCACAAATGAGGTTTGGGCTTTTCTTAGAGCCTAACTCTCTGCCGTCACTCCTTGCCAGAAAACGTGTAACCGGTTGAAGTGCTATGTTCACCCAGTTACATCTTCAGTGAGGGGATGAATGGAAATAG